TGGGTTGTGTGACAGTTGAGTTTATATGCTCACAAAACAAACTTCAGCAATCGGTTGAGTGTCATCGACGACAGTAGATGATGTCGACAGATGAGCTAACAAGCTGCTCAATTTGTACTCAGTCGTTGTCATGAAAGACAGGCCAAAATTTTTTCACTCTTCCTAGGCCTCACAAGCATGCTAATCGGGTCAACTATCGGGCGTTTACCGGATGCGCCGCGGTCACTTATCGGGTCCAATGTCGATTTATACCGAGCAGCTCGCGGCATGGATGATTGGTGGCCGAGCAAGCACCCGCGAACTTCCCGATGCAATTGTCTGAGGATGCGATTTCAATGTTGATAGTATAGCTACAGCATTCAACTCATGAGTTTGGATTTGGATTTTTGCGCATCCGCGCTTCGATGTTTTTACACCATCGGATTTGAATGCGAAGACCATGATTCCCACAACTCCAGGCATACCTTATGTGATTCTCTTGTGACTCCCGCAAAAAACTTGGCACTGTATGATCACAAAGTCTACTGCCGTAAAAGGCACAACAACAATATCAGTTGGACGGGTGTATACGCGGCGCGCGGAAGCTACATCTGTAACCTGCGCCTTATGATTAACACAAGTACGTTTGCGTTCCTGAATCCTGCACCAAATGGTCAGAAGTTTAGATTGTGGGGTCATAGCAACACAATATAACACACGGATCGCAGCTTAAAAGAAAGCTTCACATCTTGAAGTTCCAGATATCTGATTTTACGCCGTATGACCAATCCGTAGGAATCTTTACCATCCTTCGCTATGAACATATTGACCAGGGACAAGAAGCTGTACAAGCCACATTTTCCAGCTTTTTGTATGATCCCCTAATGATCCCCGGTGGCCGACCGTCTTCTCTTCAAATTCATTTTTCTTTATTTGGAAGTAACAAAACCTTCCAAGTTGTACGATTCGTCTAAACAAACAGTGCTAAGCATGCTGCTGATAAGAACAAATGGGTGAAGAATGTTGGGAATACTTACGGATAGGTAGACGACGTAAAATCCAGATATCCGCAGCTCAATCTATGAAGCTTTTTTTAAGGTCGCGATCCCCTCCAGGGATGTTAATGCTGCGGCCCTTAGTCTTGCTCATAAAGTTGTATCGGTAGCTCTAATGAGTCTCGTACCTACATAGGCTGTCATTATGTAAAACAATCTATATGATGAATGCATGCTAGTCGAATTATAAGCAATTTTACCCTAGATGTCAATTTAAATGCAACATTGTTGAAGCAGAGCAGACTATACAAAACAAACCTTCACATCAAAGATTTTGCAGTCGCAGCGTTTTGATTCAAGCTTAAATCAAGTCTTTATCAAATCGCGCGTCTTATGAGATTTGATACCAAGATGTTGTAAAGTTACCGTAGTTGTTGCCACTCTTACCCCAGCTCGGTTCTGTGATATGTGCACTTGCCTCCTACTGAGTCTGTGATACGCAATAGGGTAACGACAAAAACTGACTTCTATATGCAACATTGCCAAAAATTCAGACGTGTTATTTCTCTCTTACTCAGAGAACATCATTCAATTTTACTTTCGATCAGACGATTTTACGATCGATCAATCGTCGTCCTTCTAACACGTAACAAATATCTCATTCGATTAATTCTGTTAGTAAACAAGTTTATTCTTCTGCGTCACCAAATACAGTGTTGAGTGCTCACTGAGGTTGGTGTAAAATTGTGGGATAGATAGTCAAATATCGCTGAAGTAACACTCTATCTAGGCGTATACCGGCTATAAAATTTGAAAGGGAAGAATAAGACATAGGAAGAAATGTTCCTGACCTGATTCTACAGTGCATGGTCTTCTACTTTGTTGCCATGAATAGTTATGGAAAGGGTAAAATTTTATATAATGGGGAACCACAATCGTTCAACAGCTCGAATCCAATCAGCATTCCTCAAAATCTCAAACATTCCTCCAAGTAATTTCTATACTTACGAAAAAATTCCATAGTCTGGAAAGGATGGAACAGCTTTCTTCCAGCTCTTACTACTCATAGATCATCTTTCAACCGTATGGCCATTGCGTTATCGTCCTTGAGCTTCCAGAATTCTTCATATCTCCACAGTGACTGCAACAATCTTTAAAACAATTTACCAAACAAGCGACGGAAAGAGATAAGGAGAAAACGGAGAGGACGAGACAAAAGCAATCATGAGTACAGCCAACACACCAGGGCCGGTAGTAATCTACCCTACCTGGTGGCATCAAAGATGCCGGCAAGTTGGCACACATCGCGGAAAGATGCCAACTCCGCCGGCAGCTCGCGGAGTGATTGTAGGTTTTAATAATCTTATCTAACCTTAGCACGCAATCATTTCGCACATTGAATTTTGATGACGCAGACAGCCGCAAAATTGCTACCTCGCGCGGGGTCGAACCTATGTGCGTTAACTTGAAGTGCCACCACGTTAACCATTCGACCATTCGGCCAACCATTGCCGTTTGCACCAGCAGTAGGAGGAACGCGCTGGTAAATGGCTGCCTGTAAGAGGAATTGATACATTGCTTGAGAGACTTTGACCTGAAAGAACAGCTGATTGATATGAGCGAGAGAGGGGCGAAATCGGTGCAAACGAGATTTATAAGGGAATGCCGAAAAAGATGGTGTTCTTTAAGTTTCTAAAGCATTACTGGATTTTTTCTCTGTAAGAAAATCGTAGTTTCAAAAAAGAAAAACTCTTATAATGAGAAAAATGATAGTTTTTTGATAAAAAGTAGAATTTTTGATTTTTTCGCCTGACGTAAATTGTGTGATATCGCCGCAATTCGCAAACTCGCAGACGCCGTCGGCAAAGGTGCCACCACCTCGACGTGGTAGGGGCACGTCGAGATGCCGGCAGCTCCCTCTCTCAAAAGAGCACGCTATTTCCTGTGCTCTCTGACCTGCCGGCAGCTGCCATCTCGCGGATTTCGACGAGCTGCCGGCAGGTTGCCGGCAACTTACATCGCGAAGTTGCCGGCAGCTCCTTCTGCCCTTCCAGATATTTTCCTACAGGATGATTTCTAGAACCGCAGATTTGTATGGAGTTTTCTACAGAGTCTAGGCGGCATCTTTATCGAGGAAATTCTTTGGAAATAGACCTGGAACCGCCTAAAATTGGGGTTTCACTTTCTGGCCACCTCACGGAAAAGGTGCCAGCGACCTGCCGACGAGACCTGCCGCCAGGTCGGGGGGATTACTACCGGCCCAGAGCACTGCAGAAGAAAAACGCCTCATATTTCCCTCCCGTTTTCACATCTGTAGGTGCCAATAGCTGAGCAAAACTAGAACGGGTACCGTACCGATGAATGATGTCTGCTTTTTTAAACCTCTGTGGCCAACAGGAAGTACTTATATTAGTCATACTTGTCGCTTTCTCTTTGTCCTAACATTACTCAAATTGTCCTATCATCATCTACAATTCATCAATTCAACAGGGTAAGGGTGTGGTCTCGTGTAGTCGTCAAAGCACTTCTAATCACTCTCTGGACACACTTTCAATGCTAAATACGTGCTACATTGTGGAATGTCGAGTATCTTCGAATGTGGAATGGAAACATACCCTTTTTGCCTGCATGATAGATCCTTGTATTTTGTAATCAACAGTAAGAGTACGCTGCTGATAGGTTCTATCGCACAGCTGTGACAAGGGCATACCAGCGCGAGACCGATGCTGGTTGATACAGCTTATATCGTTTACTCGTTGACCGTAACGACTGCTGACCGCGCGGCGACCGCTGCGCGTGCATGATGTTTTCGTAGAAGAGATAAATAGAAGGAAAATAGAGGATTCTTCTCATCTTTATAATGTAGAGAAGAAACAAAGAATTCTTCTCATCTTAAGCCACGGTCCAACTTGTCACTTTTTCGCAAGTTTAGAATGCACGCGTCGCAGTCGCCACGCGGTCGGCAGTCCGTACGGTCAACGAATGAACGATACACTTTTGAGTGGAACAGATGTATAGCTGAACAGATGTTTAGAGATGCGCGGTTTGTTGCAAATATCCGCGCAGGACCTCCCATTCCTGCTACGTAATGCCCTTTATTTGCAAGGCGTACAATGTGAGACCATCACCCGGCATAAGGTCAGCGAGAATTTTAGGTTCGTAAAAAGCATACAAAATCTATGCCGAGCGGGTCGAAAAAGGCTAAACGAATTCAAAACTGTACATTGTATGATGCGCAAGAGGTTGCTGGCATAGATTTTGTGTGAATGGCGGAAAAATTCCAGGAAAAGAAGTAATAGAAGTGAAGAACATGGTCGCTAATCATCCGACCGACTGATCAATAGCCTAATGTCTCCGCCGAGTTGGAAACTTTTCAACCTTGCTACAATATGTTGTCGTCGGCTGAACGATGTGATGCTAATAGGCTTAAATCAACCACAATTCGTTCTCTCCTCTTTTTTGCTAAAACCAATCAGTCTAACGTTTTCTTCTTCTGTTGACATCCCTCTTGCAGTTTTCACAAGAGTCAAATGGAGCATATTTTCTTGGAGAGTCAAGTGCGGATATTGGTGAGAATAGTAGCGAGTAGAATGAGCATCAGTCGTATGGCTCAATTGTGTTCTTGGCAGTGATTAATTGATAAATCTGCGGTGCTCACTATGAATTATGTCAGCATTTAAATATTGATTATAATTGCCTACAAAGCCCTCCTAACGACAAAATTCATGACCGCGTTGAGTTCAAAAGCTTGTAATAATATTCAATTCTTAGTTCCATCGCTTGGTTTCTCACTGCATAAATTAAGAGACTTGTAAATTAGTAAAATATGTACAATAATAACTTCAAATTTATTACTGAGCCACCAGCAACCAAAAAAATTTAATCGTAGTTATGTGGGTATAAATTTCAATCCATTCAAATAAAGCGTTTCACTTTTAAACAATATATTTTCTCAAAAAATGTTGTGAATTGGATATATGAATTTTGTCAAGAGCTAAGATCGTAGTATTTGCTTTATCTTTCCAGGCCTCAATGGAAAGGTACGATACGGACACATTTGAGGCGTCAGATGAGGAACTCAAAGAAAAAAGCGATATCGGAGATGACAAGCTGTTATGCGGTTATGGAAGGTGAGGATCCGTAATTATGGGAAGTCTTATATATAAAGCTGAATGTCTGTTTGTGACTGTGTGTCTGTGTGTGTGTCTGTACGTATGTTCCGAATAGAAAATTATTTCTCAACCGATCCGGACCGAACTTGGCACACATACACTTCGGGGCCGGGCGGGTGTCATAGGCTACTTTTCGTTGTCGTTCGATATCGATTTTATCTATTTCTATCGATTTTTTTGCAGAGTTCACCTACGGGCTGGGAGTTGGCAAGGGGGGTAAGTGAGCATGGGGATTCCGAATACAATGTTAGTTTTCAGGATTATCGATTACTTTTATCGATTTTATAGATTTTTTTGCAAAGTTTGAGCTACGGGGCTGGGAGTTTGCACAGGGGGGTAATCAAGCATGCTGATTACGAGTTCGATATTAGTTTGGCGCTATTCGGCTAACCGGGCCCCAAAATTTTTTTGTCGTAGAGCTTGCTCAGATTCGTGTGTAAGGGTTATCTTACATGCTGATTACAGATATCACACTTTCGTCGCAGAAAGTCTCCCCATGTGGTTACGATAGGTGTACGGTAGGAAGTCAAAATCATGAATTCGGCTGGAGAAGTTCGGTCCAGAGAACTTATTCGACATGCTGATTACGAATTTCATACTCTCTCTGCATATTGGGACCTCTTCATAGAGTTAGGGTGGTTATATTCGGTGTGGGGTCGAAAACATAGATTTAATTTAGCGCGCTGAACATAAATATCATGTTGATTTCGCAGGATGGTGCATTTTCTTGGGTTACGGTGGGTGTAGATGGGTCGAAGTTCCAGATTTGCTCAAAACCTTACCTGTAACGGTTCACAAGTATACTGCTTATGAATATGAAACTTGCTCGCTGTCTTAACGCATTAGTGAAGTTATGGTGAGTTGCAGGATTTGAATGGACAGGGTCAATTTAGATCCCATATAATCATGAAATGGGGAAACGGTCGTTTTGCATGGCGGTCTCCAGTGCTATCCTGATAACCTGTCCCAACGTGTAACGCATGCGGCAAATCTCCCTCCCCCTGATTTGCTTAGGCAAAAGCCGCCGAAGGGTGTATCGCACGCGGCAAATGTCTCTCCCCCTATTTCTGCTTAGGCAAAAGCGCCGAAGGGTGTATCGCACACGACAAATCTCCCTCCCCCTATTTCTGCTTAGGCAAAAGCCGCCGAAGAGTGTATTGCACGCGGCAAATCTCCCTCCCCCTATTTCTGCTTAGGCAAAAGCCGCCGAAGGATGTATCGCGCGCGGCAGTGGTCCTATAAGGAAAGCATTACGGTCGTGGGAAACTTTTGTACCATACGAATTGCCTTTATCGCGGGGATTGAGCACGATATTCTTTGAACAGCACTTTAGGTAATTCCCTGCCAATGTTTCAGGCAGGTTTATGATTTTTACCCGCTGCCACGCGATGGCTATGATATTGTCATCAGCGGCTCAAATAACCCCCATATACCGAGTTTGAGCAAGATCCGTCACAAAAACATTTTGGGCCCGGATAGCCGAATAACGCCATCAATTCTTAGAATTATCCTTACTTTTATCGATTTTATTGTTTTTTTGTGCAAAGTTTGAGCTACGGGGCTGGGGGGTTGGTGAGGAAGGTAGGTGACATACTGATTACTCACGCAGCGGAAATAGGGAATGTAGAAGTGGGCACAGGTAAAGGTGTACAGAGATAGAAATGGAACCTTTATCGTTTTTGACTGGGCCAGGCGAGCCGGGTAAGCCAGCTAGTAACAAATGTGTACAACACCTATATTAACAGTTTCTGTGAAAGTGCAGGAAACACACATGCTACGCTATTCCGGAAGTTCTCTCCGATTTTTAGTTGTCTTGTTCTATCGGACCTACTTTCAGAGTTTGCACTTATTACAGTATCTTGCACATCATGCAGGAGCACTAATCCTGCCTTTTTCCAGTGCTTACTGATTCTTACTGAAACAAATTTCAGTGATAAACTTTTGAGTCTAGAAGTTCCCCAAACTAAATTGCCAAAATGTAGTCGTGCTCAGGAAAAAGTTTTCTTGAGGAGAATTTCAAAATCTTCGTAAAAACTGTGCGTAATTTTATTTTGAACTAGTTGGCTTTCCCGATCCAGCCCGGGTCATTGGTCACCTGCACTGCAAGTCCCCCCCCCCCCCCGCCCTCCCATATGTTATGGATCACTTACCCTAGGACATCCGCTCCGAGACCGCATCCTCGTGATCCTAAGGTGAAAATGAGCTTCACCGCCCTCCTTTACCCGACTATGGTAAAATGCTTGATTAGACATGATAAGCCCTCAATTCCTTAGAAAAGCGTTAACAAAACAATAAATCGATAGAAGGACCCAACGAATCGCTGCGAAAAGTAGCCTATCATCTGCGCAGAGGTCGAAAACATATGTGTGCAAAGTTTCAGCTGAATCGGTTGAGAGGTGCGCGTTTCTATAACGCACATACCCTCAAACTGACAATTTTTGAGTTTTATATATCCTACTATAATAACGCGCTAAGGGTGTTTACGTGTTTTTGTGTGTCTGTCTGTCTGAATGTCTGTCTGTCACGAAATTCATAGCGCGACTTCCAGCAAAGGTCTTGAGCTGAAATTTGGGTCATAGCACCTTGATACCACCTAGACCCATAATGCAAAATTTCGTGCGGATCCAATGCGTTTATCCTACAAAAACCGCACACCAAGCGGATCCACACAGCTTGGAACTTGCCGAACTGGCTCCAAATTAGATTTTTTTGCGATTTTTTGGAATTGCTGGACACACAATTGTGCAAGCTGTCGATTTTAACCAGAAAAGCAAAGGAAAGTAGATTTTTACCGAACATATTGCAAGAAAGGTTCACTGAAGTAACTGATCAATTTTCCAAGCTTCCACCGAAGAAACTGAGAAGATCTCTGTTCAGGGATGTAGCTCACATCGACCGTTATGATTACAGAGAATTCAAAGTCATTACGATTTCAGTAACCGACTCAAAAAAGGAATTTTTTAAGGCTGGGGGGCTTTCTCCATCTGGATTCACCGAACTCATTGTTTAGAACTTTTGAAATGAAAAGTTTCAAGCATTTCATTACTGATGGTCATTATTGCTTGGTGTGTTTCAAAGCAGCACTCGCTGTTTAAGGAACTGATGACGCGAAAGTGCTAGGTTAGGGATCGTTCAGACCGCGCACAAAGGCGCACGAAGGCGCACGAAGGCGCACAAAGGCGGACGAAGGCGCGTGTGAGTGAGTGTGCGTGTCGAGATAAACGAGACGAGACAAGACGCGCCTCCGTGCGCCTTTGTGCGCCTTCGTGCGCCTTTGTGCGCGGTCTGAACGATCCCTTCGACAGGCGTCAAGATTTCGTAAGCACAGTGCAGGACGGATGTGGAAGCAAGCACGTGTACAGTGCTTTTAAAGAAAAAGTTTATGACTGTAACATTTCTCCTTTACGAATTCACTTGATTTTCCTCAAGTTTCAAGCGTTGCAACTGCAGGCATGTTATTCTAAAGGGAAAGTCCTTTCGTCTTGAATGAGATGATCTCATTTTGACTCGATTATTCCAAACGGTAGGTTCTTAAGGAACTTCACAGAAGAGCAAAATGCTGCGCATGCACGGTCTTACATTATATCACCACGCTGGCCGTCAGTCGCTGGCCTAATTTTGAGCATTATTCGCTCATAGCTGTTATGAAGAAAGCTTCCATAAAATCTAACTTTTCTATTCAAAAATGCGCCTTCATACAAGCCCCGCTTAAGGATAGGCACAATTATAAAAGCTTGATCCTACGATCAAAAGTCTTTTTAATTTTAAGATCTTTTTTGCGGAAACTGATCCTTTGCTGAGTAATGAATCTGCAGCTAAACGCTGCTTATCCGTTTACTCTGACTATTATAATCTGTCTCTCAGAAATCAAACGATATTATGATTTTTACAAGGTTGTAATCTATGTATAGAATTGATCATTTTAAAATTGTCAATGAGGAAACCCAAAAACTGTCGTTTGTAAATCCAGAGATAGAATTCTCATTATAAAGTGTTTACTTATAATGGAAGTGGAATTTTATTTTGCGCAGTATGTGATATTTTGTGATCTCAAGATGATGCTTCATCTTCATTTAAAGTCTACTGTCGAAAAAAAGCCATGATTTAGAGTAGTTGAATCAGTGATGGAACCAAATCAGCAACCTGAAGTTCGCAGGCGCGGACGCCCTCGCGTCTTCGCATCGGATGCGGAGCGCCAAAGAAATCATCGGAGCATTGAAGGAGAAAGACAGCGTGCTCTGCGGCTCAGTGCAGATGCAGAACGTCATCTGCTCCAACGTCAGCACGAGGATGCAGAGCAACGCTCTATCAGACGCACTCAAGATTCGCAACGTCATCGCGAAGAGCGCGGAGTTGAAAATGCGCAACAGCGAGCTGCCCGTCTGATGGCCATGACTCAGCGTAATCAGAGGCGTCGCGATGCCGAGGATCTCCTCGAAGGTGCTGAAAGACGTCTTGCTGATGCGCAACGTCAACAGAGGCGACGTGAGGGAGAAAATGTCGAAGAGCGTGCACGCCGTCGATCTGAGGATATGCAACGGCAGCGAAGAACTCGAGCGGTTGAAAGTGAGGAAACTCGGTCTGCACGTCTTCTCCAGGACACACTACGTCATCAAAGACGTCGTCAGAATGAAAGCAATGATGAACGCGCTGAACGCCGTTTTGAAAATGCTGAGCGGCAGCAAAGGCGACGCCAAACTGAAAGCATAGAAGACCGTGCTCAGCGTCTTTTAGAGCAGAATCGGCGTCAACAGAGGTTGCTGCAGAATGAAACAGATGAGGAGGGCTTTGAACGCCGAAGAAGGAATGCAGTGCAGCAAAGACTGCGCCGTGAGCGGCAAGTTGAAGAAGAAGAAGAGGCAGAGGTGCAAGAAAATCCTGAACGTCACCCTGGACAAGACGAAATTGATGGCCAACAGGTGTTAGATGTAACGGCTAATGGGAATCGACGGCGCCGG